GCGAGCACGGCCCGGGGAGCCACAGGCCCAAGGATGGACCGAGGTCGGAGGGGCTCCCGGGCAAGAGGTGGGATGGGAGGGCAGGCCTCGGGTTGGGCAGTGTGTGCGCTGGAGAGGCCATGGCAGCCAGCCACTGCAGGGGCTGGGGGACAGGTAGCAGTACGGGACAGCAGAGGAGGGAACCCTTGTGCTGAAGGCCAGAGGCTCCCTGGGCTTTCCTGTCTGTGGGGAAGGGCCCCATCTGCATCTCTGTCATCTCTCTCTCTGGTCTTCCTCCTTGGGGTGCTCCTTTCTCCAGCAAGCTTCCCCCCCAGCTCCAGTCCAAACCAGCAGGTGACCCTGAGTGTCTGGGGGTTGACTTGGGGCAGGGCAGGGGGCGGGCTGGGTGTAGAGGCAGGGGCCACAGACATTGGGGTGGACCTTTCTGTCTGGACCCTGCACTCCACTTCCTCAGCCCCCTGGCTTTTAATCACACACCACCCACGGCCCCAGCCCCTGCCAGCTGGCCCGGAGGGCAGGCCGGGCAGGGGACGGGCACTCACCTCGCATCTGAATGGCTTCTCTCCCGAGTGCTGCAGAGAGTGCACCTTCAGGGACATGCTGCGCTTGAAGGACTTCCCGCAGGTCTCGCAGGTGAAGGGCATGTCCTTGGTGTGGGCTACAGGATGGACACCGTGGCTGTCACGTCCTGAGGGCCACCCTGAGCACCCCAACACTGGGCTCCGCCTACGCCTCCTAGGGCAGCCCTGTGCCACCGTCCTTCCCCAGGATGGGCCGTGTCCTCCTGCCCAGGACTTGGGCTTGATTCCAGGTGAGGCCCCTCCCCTCCCGGGGTCTCCCGTCTGCTCTGAAGGGCTGACACAGAGAGGACGGAGGCCCTCAGGGTACTCTGGCCTCTGGTCAAGAGAAACAGCCAAGGCTGCCTTGCGCCAACATTGTGGGAGAGATGAAAGGGTCCTGGATGGGGCAGACCTCAGCTGGAATCCTGGTCCAACCACTGGCTTCCTGCTTGGTCCCCTGGGCCTCAGCTTCCTCTTCTGCAAAAAGGGACTAAGGGGGGCTGGCAAATGCTGTGGTGGTTAAAGGCGCTGGACTCCCACACGGCCAACCATGGTTCAAGTCTCCGACCTGGTGGCTTCCTTTCTCACTTTCCCTCTCTCTCTCTCTGGTCAAATTGGAAAGTAATAATAATACATAAAGTTAAAATAATTCTTTAAACAAAAGGGGGGGGGAGCTAAACTTCAAGGGTGGTGAGCTTATGACACAGAAGGTGAGAGCTCCCTCACTGGAGACAGGCCTTACTGCCGATGTACACGGCGCTTGGGTAGTTTAGGAAAAGATGCTCCTTCCCGTGGAAGACCCAACTCCACTCAGGACACACACCGGGTTAGCAGTGTGCCAACTGGAGTCCAGCTCCGACTTGCCCTCTTGCCCTGACACCCTTGTGCAATGTGCAACCTGCCCAACTGGACCTGGCGTCCCTGGCCCCAGCGCCCGAGTTCAGACGCAGCTGCCACTGCAACCGGCCTCCTCTGGCCTCCCGCCTGAGCGGGCCCTTCTCACCCTTTCCCATTGACCTCCTCCACACACAGGGACTCTTTTCAAGGGTGGTGGGCTTATGACAGACAGCCCACCACCAGATGGCACACAGAAGGGCCATCTGTCCTCAGGCTCCGCCCCCGGCCAGCCCACGCTTACCAACCATGTGCTTGCGCACGTGGGCCATGGTGTAGAACTTCTTCTCACAGATCTCGCACGAGAACTTCTTCTCTGCGTAGCCGTGCACGATTTTGTTGTGCTCGTGGAGGGACCAGAGCTTCTTGAAAGCCTTGCCGCATGTCACACACTGCAGGGCGAGAGGATTTTAGGCTCTGGCCCTGACCTTGGCCAAGTCACTGCCCCTCTCTGGCCTCGGTTTACCCACCTGGAGTGTGCTGGAGAGGACCCCTGGTGTCCTAGAGCTGGTAACTTAGTATTACCCACCCACACGCTTAGGACTGCAGTCTGGACCCGCCTTCATTCTGCAGCTCAAACAGGGTAACCCCTCTGTGCTCACTGCAACCAGGCCTTCTAAAGGCCTCACCTTGCATCTCTAGAAGGGATACAGACCACCGATTGAGGGCCACCTCAGGTGTGGGAGTTATGCACAGCTGCGGAGAGGCCCCCTCCCATAGGTCCCAACAGAGCTGGGTCCCTGCTGCGTCCCTGCTAGGACCCTGACACTCCAAGGGGACCGAACAGCCCAGCTGGAGAGGCCCTGCAGGGTGGAACCTCAGCCTGACTCCTGGCTGGACACCCACAGGATGGACAGTGCGTGGGCTGGGGAGGCCATGGCCGCCAGCCACTGCCGGGACTGAAGGACAGGAAACAATGGGGACAGCGCAGAGGAGGGAATGCGTGTGCTCAAGGCCCGAGGTTCCCTCAGCCTTCCTCACGGGAAGGACCCCACATCCCCATCAGCAGCTGTGTCATCTCCTTCTCTCATCTCCCTCCCTGGGGTGCTCCTCTCTCCAGCAAGCTTCCCCCCAGCTGCAGTCCAAGCCAGCGGGTGACCCTGAATGGGTGGGGGCTGAACTACACGAGGGTCGAGGGTCGGAGCTGGAACTATGTCCCAGGCCGGAGGGGGCGGGGGCATATTCTTTCCCCTTCAGAAGGGCAGCCCGGGTGTGTGGCAGGTGGAAGGCTGTCAAAGGGCAGCCCAGCGGGCAGGCAAGTGGGAACAGGTGCTCCGGGGTGGGGCGGGTTACCAGGTGCTGCCCAGGTAACCCTTTCTCCACAGGGTGCTGCAATTAGCAATTAGTTCAAGCAATTAGCATCCCGCCTACCTGCCACCCCCTCCCCCCTCCGCCTGGGCTAGAAAAGGTAAAAGCGCCCTGTGGGGAGCCTGGCTGGCCCTGTGCCACCCCTACCCTGAGAGGCTGGCCCAAAGTCTGGCTGCCAGCCCAGCTCCTCTGCCTGGCCCCAGCAATCCCTTTTCTTCCCAAATTTCTCACTGTCCCTTTCCCCCAGGCCAGCTGGCATCTCCCAAGAGCTGAATACAGGGGCTTCCTCCTGAGGGGCTGCGCCTGCTCTACACGACCCACTGCCTGTGGGCAAAACCCTCTTCCCTCCGTGTGTACTTTGCGCTGGGCACAACCCGTGTGACGACACACAGGTCCTGCTGGCCTTCTTGCAGTCCTGGGGATTTTTAAAGTCTGACTGCCCCCTCCCCAGAGCTGGCTGTCCCCTGGTCTTGTCTGCTTAGACAACTCTCTGCTCCAAGCGTCTCAAGTGCATGGTCCCCTTCCCCTCAGGGCAAGGGTACTGCATTCCGGTCCTCCGCCCCATCTCTCTGTGTGCCAAGCCCAGCTCTGGCCACCTGTCCCCAGAAGCTCTCCTGGGTGCTATCCCCAGGGTGCTCACCACCGAGAGCTTGGACCTGGGCTGCTCTACCCAGACCACCTGGACAGCATGGTCAGCAAGATCCTGGGTGCCCAGGGCCAGCTGTGGCCTAGCCCGGCTGGGCCTGTCCCCCGCGAGGCCCACCTGGATGTTGCGCTCGCAGTCCGTCTGCCGGTGCAGCAGCAGCTCGCTCTCCAGCAGGAAGCGCTTGCCGCACTGGTCGCAGATCTGCATGCGGCTGTGGGTCACGTTCATGTGCTTCTCCAGGTACCAGCGGTTGTTGAACACCCGCGGGCACTTCTGGCACGGGTGGTGCTGCTTCTCCTCCAGCTTCACCTTGGCCCCCAGCCCATCGGTGGCCGGCGGCACCCGCACTGGGGAAGGGGTCACTCCGGAGGGTGCCTTTGGCCGCTTCCCACCCCGCCGCCCAGCCTCCTCAGGCTCCGGGGTACCCTGGCGCCGGGCATTCTCCCGGGACCGCGTGGCCATGCGACTATGGGGCGGGGGCTCTGCCCGGCTGCCCCGGCGCCCGCCTGTCCCTGCCGGCCCCTGCTTGCCCCCAGCCTCGCCCTCCTCCTCTTCCTCCTCCTCTGAGCTCTCTGGACCCTGCTCGCTGTGCCCCTCCTCCTCCTCCTCCTCTTCCTCCTCGCTGTGCCCTTCCTCCTCCTCGTCTTCCTCCTCTCCCTGACTGCCTCCCTCCTCCTCCTCCTCTTCCTCCTCCTCTCCTCCACTGCCACCACCCTCTTCCTCCTCGTCCTCCTCCTCGTCCTCCTCCTCGTCCTCTGAGTGTCTCTGCAGCCCATCCTCCCGGCCCAGCACCATGGTGGCCGGGCTGGTGGCGGTGCCCGGCGTCCCCTCGGGCCCCGTGGACACGTGCAGGGTCTGGTTGTTGAGGTTCACTTCCACGATGATCTGGGACTGCTCCCGGCGGCTGTAGGTGCCGGAACCCCCGAGCTCTTCTTCCAGCTCCTCGCTGCCCTCCAGCTTGCACAGGCCGGCCGGTGGGGTGCTGGCCCCCTCAGCACCGCCCTCTTTCACCTCCTTGAAGAAGGGCTGGGCAGGCCCGACTGCGGCAGGCACGGCGCCACCAGCACCCCCGGCCCCGTCCTCCACACGCACCGAGTAGGGGTCGGGGCCCTCGCGGGCGTAGATCTTGGGCAGGCCCGGGGTATCGGCCTCCTGCTTGATCTCACAGTAGTAGGCTGGTGGGGCCGGGGTACAGCTGGTGGCCGGCTGGGTGAGGGCCACAGTGCTAGGGCCCGGCGGGCCCAGGGAGCGGGCGTCCGGCAGCTCCTGGCAGGATGCGGCAATGTCGGCCATCTGCAGCAGCAGGGCCGCGCTGAGCACCTCGTGCACGTTGGCCGCGTTGACCAGCAGCTTGGATGTGTAGATGAAGTTGAGGATCTGCTGCAGGCCGCCGGGGGCCAGCGCCTCCAGGGACAGCTCCACCCGCTGCAGCTGCTTGTTCTGCGTGAACAGCGAGTGGAAGAACTGGCTGTAGGCGGCCAGCACGCCCTTGTGCGCGGGGAAGACGCTGCGCTGAGGCACCAGCACCAGGTCCACGTCGCAGAGGTCGGGCTGGAAGAGGCGCTGCTCGTTCAGGCGGCCCATCAAGCAGGCGAAGTGCAGCGCCACGTCCTCCACCAGCGAGAACTCGGCCGCCGGCGAGTCGGTCGTCTTCTCAACCAACAACTGCGGAGGCAGAGGCAGAAGAGGGTCAGGCAGTGGCCCCCACCTGCCCCTGCTGCCCACCGGCCCCTGGCAGCACCACCTATCCACGCGGCAGCCCAGCACTCCTGGCTCCACTCCGCAGGATGGGAGCTGGAGCCCAAGGAGAGGGCACAGATTCCAGCCCGAGTCAGCCCCGCTCGGAGCCCAAATCCCTGGTGACCTCCGAGGCTGACCTGAACCCCCAGAGTAGCCAGTTCCCCTTCCTGGACCTCTCCAGCTCTTCTCCTGAGGGACAGAAAAGGTGTCCCAGGAAGGGAAAGGAATGAAAAGGGACCTGGAATGAAAAGGCCTGCCAGGGACCTGGGGACAGAGGGGGTTCTACTGGGATAAGGAACCTTCAGAGTCAGAGCCAGTGCAATCCCTGGTGATCCAGGACCAGGTGCTCACCCATGCTCGCTGGCGTGCCTGCCGCATTCCCCGAGTCCCGCAAGGCACCCACACATACCAATTAAAGCAAGCTTCGGGCCAGCCCCGAGCCTGGTGGTTAAAGGAGCTGGATCCCACATGGCCAACTATAGCTCAAGTCCCAGCCCTGGAAGCTTGAAAAACATGCTAGGCTTGTCTGTGTGTGCCCCAAATCCTGATGGGACGGGAAATGGAGGATGGACTGAGGCATGGCCATGTCTCTCTGGGGACTCTCTCTGGCAAGTGCGGGCACCCTCTGACAATTAAAAGGTCAGTTTGGGGGCCAGCAGGTGGTGTAGTGGTTAAGGGTGCTGGACTCCCACATGGCCGACCAGTGTTCGAGTTCCAGACCTGGTGGCTTGCTTGCTTTTTTTTTTTTGGGCGGGGGAGAGATTCTCACTGTAGGGCGCGTGCGCTCGCCAGACAGACAGAGAGAGACATAGAGACAGAAAGCGAGAAATCACCCCCCAGGGGGGATGGTCACGCCGCAATCCCTTCTCCTCCATTCTCCTCTCGGGATCTTGGGCACGCACGCACACGCGCCCGGCGTGAGTTTTAAGCCACCGGGTCCGGGACACGAACCGCGGTCGACCACGTGGGAGTCCAGCGACATAGCTATTACGCTAACTGCTGGTTCCCATGGGGGCTTTCTTTGTCATTTTCCCTTTCTCTCACTCTGTCCCTCTCTGGTCAAATTAAAATGAACAAACAAATAAATAAAAATAAAGTTCAATAAAATTCTTTTTTATAGTTATTTATTTAATTTTATTTACTCATTCATTTATTTTTTTAACCAGAGAGACATAGAAAGAGGAGAAAGTGAGAAAGGAAGCCACCAGGCCCGAGACTTGAACCATGGTCGGCTATGTGGGAGTGTCCAGCGTCTTAACCACCATGCCACCTGCTGGTCCCAGTAAAATAATTCTTTAAAAAAAAAAAAAAGAAAAAAAGGTCAGTTTGCCCAAGCCTGCACATCTTGGAAACAGAAGTCAGGCTCATGTGTACCCACAGTCCGGCCTCTGGCTCCTGCAACCCGAGGTGGCAGCTCAGGGAACCCTCGCTCAGCAGCGAGACTCACAGCCTAGGCCCCGAGGGCTGCAGAAGTAGAAACTTGTGTGGAGAAACCCAGGTCCAGGGCCTGCAACTTCTCCCCACTCTGGTCCTGTTCTCCTGCCCCCGTGAGATCCAGACAGTCCCCCATCATTCAGCCAGACTGCCCCCACCTGCCTGTGGCCTCAGGCCTAGCCCTAGCAGCTCCCCCCTCCCACGTGGGTTCTGCGGGGGTGGGAGGACACAGTGGTGCTACATGTGCACTGGACTGCAAGCAGGAGGCCCCCGAGGCCTGCCTTCAGACCCTGGGTCAGGATGGTGCAGGCCCAGAGGCCATAGGATGGCCCCAACTGGGAGGCCGTACCATCTGGGCTTCTGGAGGCTTGGAGAGGCCCTCAGTGTCTGCTGGGGCAGACCCACCCAGCATGTGAACTGCCCGGAACAGGCCTGACCAGCCCTGGCTCTAAAGGTGGGCTCACAGGCTGGCAGCCTGCCCAGTGCCTCACACAGGGCCCGACACGTGGAAGACGCTCACTCCCTGCCTGGCAGTGCTAGGTCCAGCGCTGCTCAGGCCCTGCCTAGCTAGATCGGAGATCCAACACCGAGACACTCCTTACACCATGGCCACAAAACCATCCACTCCTGGGGGCCCTGGCAGGAGCCCAGCCCATCTACCCACAGTCCTTCCTTGGCCCGGGCAGCGTGGGTGGGCCCAGACTCGGGGTGGTGGAGTCTAAGGCCGGTGAATAACACGGCGGGCCCCGGGATGAGTGCAATAGAGGTGACCTGCCCGCAGCCTGACTCTGGACCCTGCCCGTCACACCCAGATGGCAGGTTAGCACCGACCCTATGCTCACTCAGAGCCTAGGCTGGTGAGGCCCAGCCTCAGGACCATCCCACTGCAGTTCTCCATGACCCTTCCCCCAGCCAAGAAGCCACACCTGTCCCTCCGGCCCAGAGTGGCTGGCCCATCCGGGCCCAGACAACCCAACTGGGATGTGGCACCAAGGCCCTCCCATTTTCCTCCTCTGACTCATTCTGATTCATCTTCTGGAACCAACCTATACTGCACAAATGGGGAAACTGAGGCTCAGAGTGGGAGCCCGAGCCCTGGACTCCCAGCTCTGCTAAGACCACCCTTTGCTTGCTAGACTGAATACCATTGCACATGGCTGGATTTCTTAGGGCTTAAAAAGCAGGAGGAGGCATCTGGGAAGCTCCCAGTAGGGACTAGCAGGGCTGCCATGAGCCCTCCACCTGCTGCCCCTCTCCAGAGCCGCTGCACCTGCACGTCAGTAAGGGGT